AAAAAAAAAAAGAAAAAAAAAAAAAAAAAAGAGAAGACGTGAAGTGAAACAAACCACATACAGATGATAATAATCTTCCAGGGCCAATGGTCAAACTCAAACTCATACAAGTTTGACAGCAGTCGAACAAAACACAAGACAAGTAGATGCAGGATTCATGACTAACCATCAGACGGCAACCTGGCCAAAAAGACTCTTGCGTATCTGCAGTCAAATATCGATACATACATATCATATCCTTTTCTTTTCTATTCTATTCATTTTCAAATCTTCATGACTTTCTGTTTTCCTTACATATATAATATGATGTTGTGGATTTTTCCAATTTACCACCAAGACCAATCAAACATTTACCTAATGCTATCTAATTGAAAAAGTATTTATTGGAAAATAATTCATGTGAAAAAAATTAACGTTCATATCCTACAACTTTCATGAAGAAATAAATTCCGATAATTCACACAGAAAAAAGGTTCGGTTAAAAAGTACCTCGGGCAACTTTCTACGGAATGCAACATCCAGTCTAGCATCAAGGGTGTTTTCAAACACAATCTTCCCATCCCTAGAAGCCAATACCACGCCACCAGAGCTAGAATACAACGCATAGAAAGAGTTACAGCAAAGTTGTTTTTTAGAGTTAACATCTGCTCAAGTTCAAAGATGACATCAAAGATGACAGTAATAAAACGTAAGAAAGGGATAAGACTGAAGAAAAATCATCATCTAGAGCATTAGTTGTCTGCATTTACTCGACTAAATTAAATTTATCAGAAATTCCTATAGAAAGAAGTTCTCTTTAGGGAGTGCTTGGATACAAATATATCCGCACAACACGAGTTTTTTTTTTGTTAATCGTGGTTAATTTTGAAAAATGTGATATGGTTAGTTGTTATACTTTATATTAAAATACTAATTGAAGTTGATTTGATGTAAAAGTAGAAAAAAGAAGATGTGAGAGTGATGGTTAGTTAAAATAATGTGGGTGGATAAACAGTGAATCAAAGTTGATATGATGTATAAGTATGATTTATTGATATTATTTAATTATATTAATAATATTGAGGATAGTGAGGTTGTGTTAAAGTTGAGTTAGATTTTGAGTATGGATTGAGTTATTTTATATACAAACACACCCTTAGTGAGTAGAAGCTTTATTACCAGAAAGGACCGTGCGCATTTTTATGTGATGGTGCAGGAGGAAGGTTAATGTTATCAACTATGATCTCAGGTGGATGAACTTTTGCCTTCTGTGCATACTCATCTTTTGCCGAGTCCAAGACAGAATTCACCAGCTGAGCATCCTCTTTACGGCACCGTAATAACACGGATGGTTCTTTCAGCCTCAACAAACTCTGAAAAGCATAAGTACATTACCAGACACAAGAGGAAATGGTCAGAGAAGCAGCATGCCTAATCAAAATATTTTTTTCACTAAATTATATTTTCTTTGGAAAACTATTTGCATATAATTTGAAGTGTACGTGTAATTGCAGATAATATAATCTATCAGGATTGAGTTTTCAAAACCTGAATGATGAGATCCTTCAACAGACTCCTGTAGATATTTTTGTCACGGCTAACATTCAAAAGTTCCTTCGATGCTGCCTCCTTCATGGAATTCACCAAATCATCCTGTGATTGAAGAACCTTGATTCTAGAAGCATTCAGTTGCATGGAGTATTCACTACAACAACCAAATTACCAACAAAAATCTTAAGTCAGATGGCATCAAGATCAAGTTCAAAACTTGAGTAAGCAAAATAAATGTACTAAGGTTCATTTTATCATACATCAAATTTCATGTCCCGCCTAGTTAGAATCTAGAATCTTGATCTCAGGAGAACAAACTCTGAGGTATACTAAAAACGCATTCTTTTTTACTTCCAAATTCAGATCTCACAATGTAATTGAAGAATACAGAAATTCACAACCCAATTAACAAACAAAACCACTCACGAATCAGCATCGAGACCCCCCCGAAGTTAATATGGATTATTTTCTTCTTCAACTTAATCCACAATTAAGTATCACATAAAATCGAAACAATGTTTCAAGTGGAAAGACTTACACAAAACGAAAAGACATAACTAAATAGAAAACCATAAATTCAGAAACTTTACATTTTCTTGCGGACTTGGACTTGCTTCTCCTTGCGCTCATATTCCTGCCTGATCTTCTTCTTCTCCGCCTCGACCAGCTGCAACTTCTCGATGTTGAATTCCTGCACCAAAACAACAATAATTGAGAAACCAAAGAAAGAAAAAAAAGAAAATCAAACAAATGTAAATCGCAAAAAGGGGCCGGAAAACACGAACCTCCTCGGCGGAGACGGAGATCTCGTTGGCCTTCTCCTCCGCTTCCTGGCGGATGAAGCGGACCATTTGCTGGATCTGCTTCGAGACGTCGGCGTCGTTCATGGTTGCGGGTGCGGATCGGGTCCTGCTAAACGGGTTCGGGTATTAACTGGAGAAGAAGGCGTTTTTGTCTGGTGGAGACCTCTGTATAGGGGAAAACTTGACAGGTTGTTAATAAGGACGATGCAGGTGCATTGGTATAAATAATTAAATATACATCAAATAAAAAGTGTTGTTTTTCCTATTTAGAACTCGTGTTCTTCGCACGGTTTTTTTGTCTTCTATTGAGATTCTTTTCCAAGAAAACAAAATAAACAAAATGTGAGCTCGGCTTGTATAATTCGGTTTCATTCATTTAACATTAAAAATTAGACCAACAACTCAAACTCTAACCTAGTTGATTTCGAACACGCTTGACTTAACTTATTTGATAAATAAATTCAATTAGTTGTTCGAACTTGATTCGTTTTTAACATACAAATTAACTGAGCTAGTTTTCACAAATCAAATCGAACAATTAGTTGAAAACTTGGTTCAAATAACAATTGTAAATTTTGTAGCCTAGACCATAAAAGTTGGGCTACGCCTCTACGGACACCCCAATATATAAGAATAAAACTACAGAACAATACTCCAAACTCTATTATGACTATTGACTAAACATATTTGAGAAAGAAAGAACGGTGGAGTAGGAAGCCGAGTGTCTCTGTTTTTTTAATGGCACGCTCGCACGCTTCGAAATCTTATGTGACAAATTTTTATACTTTACCACTTGGCTCGGATGGATTTTAAGTTATTTTCAATCCAAAAATAACTAGATTTGGAATATTCATAGATATATTAGATATATATGAATCTTTTTAAGAGCATAATTAGGTTTTAATATTGTTTCATATTCTAGACTTGGTTTATAAGGCATAACTTTTTTCTCCAATCTTTATTTTTTCTTCATCTTTCATTTATAATTATAAAAAATTTATTAACATAAATTATAAATATATTTAAATGTCAATAATTTTTTATTCTATTATCAAATTTTCATATAATATATCAAATTAATCATATCTTTATGAAATTCGATTTTGACCTCAATGTTGTAAATAAAAATAAATAAATAGATAAATTTATATCTACAATAAAAATTAAATTTTATATTAATATTAATTAGAAATTATTTAAATTAATTTAACTATAAATTATTTATATGCTACAAGATAAAAAAATATTTTAATATAAGATGTTAAGTCGTATAAGTAATAGATGTCATTTTAAATATAAATAAAAATATAGTTTAACAAAACAATAATTAAAAACTAAATATATTTGTTAATTTTAATTTTAAATATAAATTTTTTAACAAACATATAATACACGGTATTATACTAGTTAAATTCACATAAAAAAAAGCATAGTAATAATTATTCTTTAATTTGAAAATGGTATACACAGACGCACAGGCTAAAAATCTCACGAGGACCTCAAAAAAATTAATTTGAAAATGGTATACACAGACGCACAGGCTAAAAATCTCACGAGGACCTCAAAAAAGGGGTCGAAATTGTGTTACTTGTCACAATTTGGATCATTATTTTTTCAGTTTCATTTTTTTTATTTTTATGTGTTTTTTCAAATTGTGTTACTTGTCACAATTTGGATCATTATTTTTTCAGTTTCATTTTTTTATTTTTATGTGTTTTTTCACGTCTGTCCGCACCCCCTAGAAAATGTACAAATCGTTAAGAGATTTATT